AGGAAAGGACCATATCTGGCATACCCCGAACAACCAACAAGCTTGAGGGATGGCATCGGGGGATACAGGCCATGCTGGATTCCCCCCATCCCTCCATCTTCCGTTGCTTCGCAGCGCTCCAGCGTGAAGAAAATTTACAAGTTAACGATCTTTTCAGGTTTAAGGCGGGTCATGACGTTCAAAAATCCAAGAAAACTGTTAAAAATATGAATAAACGCCTGACAACACTTATAACCAGACTAGCGGAAGGCACCATAGAGCGGGCGGAATTCCTTCGTGGCGTGGGATATGCTATCACACTGAACGTTTAAATCCGAAACATCAAGATTTGGGCGGGTTGCCTTTAAGGTTTGAAGAAACTCTATATAGGTATGTTTGTTCCGGCAAAAGGGCATCTGAACTAAGTACACCAACATCCGAACATCTGAAATCTGAAGTGTGTTATACAAATTCGAACGAACGAAATATATACGACAACGAGACCGAACCTTTTCATGGTAAACATGGCCGAGCATCTCAGGGAACTATATATTTCAAATAAATTTCGGGAACTAGCACAAATGAACTAGACCAAATATGACACTAGCTCAAATGAAGCTAGCTCAAGTGGCACTAGACCAAATAAAGCACTAGACCAAATGAACTAGCCCAAACGATACTAGACCAACTGACACTAGTCCAAGTGGAGGGGACTCCCGTGCACATTGCACGAGCCAGTTGGAGGTACCCTGGGCCTGGCGCTCTGCACATGCACGGCTCACTCGCTCGCTCGCTCGCTCGTTCTTCGCCCAAAAGGCACTTAACTGGTTATTTTCATCATTTTCCTGTTTATATGTTCATGTGACTTCATATGTTTCATATGTTTCTTCATATGTTTATATAACTTCATGTGTGCCAAATTTCCGAGAAAAAAAAATGCGGGCATTGAACGGCTCGACCCGACCCCCCTCGATCCGGCTGACCCACGCCAATGGCGTTTTTTGAACGGAAGGAACTAAAGCGCTGAAATTCGTAGCATCGTTCGGGCCTATTCATAGTTTATAATTCGATAAAAAGACGGCATTTTAACAACAGTTTATTTCCCTTATTCATACGAACCTTTTATCAGTAGGAAGTCATAATAAGTTCACGAATAATGTCTAAAGGTGAAGCTAAAAGCATTTTTGTCGAAGTTATTTGCGAAAAACTTAAACAACTTTTCGGGGTCGTTGCTTGACCTCTGACCTCAGGTCACCAAAACTATTTTTCTATTTTTCTCTAATGACAAACGCTACACAACCGTGCTCGTAATTTGTCTTTATCTCTAAAACTCTATTTTTAGCAGCTATTTGAAGTTCGCGTCTGTGACGCCGAAATATACTGTGCAGGGGTCTAGAAAAATCGACCCTGTGACGTCATCAAGGGGGCTAGGTCCAAATTTTTCCTTCAGAAGATGTCAAATTGATGGGAGAAAAGGTACTGAAAGTTTCGCTTTCCTATCTCAAAGCGTTCAGGAGGTATCGCAAATATTCGCCAGGGGGGGGGGGCGAAAAACGCCCCCCCGGACCCGCGAGGGTTAACATAGCAGTCTTTTTTGCGGATGAAATTATCTGGAAAAAGAGCAGCCTACGCTCATGTCCGCTCAGTTTCTTCAGCCAACACTAGTGGAATGACCATGCACCTTCTCTTCAAGATGTAGCCCATTTCCTTTCACGCAGTAGGAAAGGCTTGCACTTTTATCAGTTTTCATCCCGTCTCCTGGGTGGCTCCAGCCTCCGGCTCCATCTATTTGCTTCTCGCTTCGTCACAATGCTGTTGCATTTTGATTTTGGCATTTTATTCGCTGGCTTTCCTGTTGCTTCATGTTTCACTAGGCTACATTACTTATCAAAACGGGTAATTCAAGGCTCAAAGCAATTTGAGGTCACATAGCCCGTCACGTCACTAGGTAATATGACGGTCAACAATATCCATAATAATCATTCTTTAACTCGGATAGGCTTAACCTAAGCCCTTTTCAGCCATTTTTGCATTATTGTCTGGACAATTCATGAAACAGTCTTTCAAGAAACTAATGACTTGTTGGACTTACTCAGATACCAAATCTCGAAAGAAGCACATCTTGAAAGGATTGCAATGTTGAAAATGTTAATACTTTCAGCATAAAAGTTCTAGCTATGCATGTGCAAAGCGATGGCTGATCCCTAAAAGCAATTCAAGCTATTTATCAATAATTATTTCTTTTAAAAATTGCAAAAAAACTGTCAGCACACCATACGCAATTTGCAACACAACATCGAAAACTGTTGCAGAAGTTTTTGTTTACACCGTTGCCATGGAGACGAAGCCCCGCAAAACTACGCTTCCGGATCGAAAGTACAATTCTATTGACGCCGCATGTCCAGGCTTTATGAAAAGTAGTAGTTTGTAAAATTGTACTTTGAAAACTACAAATGTACAAACTACAATCGGATTGTAGAATCTTTATGAAAAAGGACCTTTTTCATAAAGCCTGGAATTGTAGAATTGTAGTTGTAGTTTGTAGGTTTGTACTTTCGATTGTACAAATCTGTTTCATAAAGGAAAAAGTACAATCCTAAAGTACAAACTACAATTCAACAAACCTACAACTCACATTCGGCAATTATCAGCCAAAAAACTAGCAATCTGTTTCATAAAAAGAACGGTTCCTCTGATTTTGGGATTTACTTGACGGAAAATACAATCGAAATCTACAACGCCCTAACCGTGTGTAGATTTTCGAAGATGAAGTATAGGAATCAGCTTAGCTTTGCTAATAATTTAATTAAATAATAACCATAATGCTCAGATACACGATATGTATTATTACGAGCGAGAGAGCGCAGCGAGCGAAGTGAGGCCTTTTCAATAAAACGGAAAAAATATCAGTATTGAGCGGCCCGGTCCGGCCCGGCCTGTAACACTTTTGAGAGGCTAATATCTCAGCAACGGCTGGACCGATTGGCCTGCGGTCTATTTTGTTGGGTAGTCCTATTCCTTCCATCCCGTAACTGACTACTCCTGCTGCATTTCAGAGACCCTCCGTGCCACTATAGGCGGTGGAATGGAGGGGGGGGGGGCACCGGGGCACCGTGCCCCCCTTGATTTTGTCATTTTAACATTAGCCCTATGGGTGTTGCATGGAAAGAATGGGACCAAAAGTCGGCAGTGCCCCCACCCCCCTTAATTGAAGGTGTTCCGCCGCTACTGCGTGCCACGTGAAAAGTCAGGGGTGTTCATTTTCAAGGAGGTACTTGCAGGGAGTGCCTCCAGATGTATAGAGAACCGCTGGGCCGATTGCGCTCAACTTTGGTACACGGTTGGGGACCGGTTAGATAGAATACTATGCAAAGTCATTTTGGGCCCCATATGTATATATGACCTTGGTTTGGGCCCCGTTTGCACGTGCGCACGGCAGGGCGCCACATCCAGATCTTGGGAACGGCTGGGCCGCTTGCATCCGAATTTGGTGCACAGCTAATAAACGGTCGGTAGGGTGCCGTGCACATTGCACGAGCCAGTTGGAGGTACCCTGGCGCCCTGCACATGCAGGGCTCACTCGCTCGCTCGCTCGCTCGTTCTTCGCCCAAAAGGCACTTGACTGGTTATTTTCATCACTTTCCTGTTTATATGTAACTTCATGTGAGTGTCACATTTCCGAAAAATGCCGGCATTGAACGGCTCGACCCGACCCCCCTCGATCCGGCTGACCCACGCCAATGGCGTTTTTGAACAGATGGAAGTTGGCACTAAGGCGCTGAAACTCGTAGCATCGTTCGGGCCTATTCAGAGTTTATAATTCGATAAAAAGACAGCATTTTATCAACAATTTATTTTCCTTATTCATACAAACCATTTATCAGTAGGCACTAGGCAGTCATATTAAGTTCACGAGTAATATCTAAAAGTAAAGGATATATATAGCTTGTTATTATTGATATCAAAATATCTGAATACATTAGCCTAGGTACTATACCTACCATCGATAGACTCATGTAACATATTTTTTTTTTTAACATTGCTCATGATCTTACATTAACATAGCAGTCTTTTTGCGGATGAAATTCTCTGGAAAAAAGAGCAACTTACGATCATGTCCTATTCGTTTCCGGCTCAGTCTCTTCAACCAACACAATGGAATGACCATGCACCTTCTCTTCAAGATGTAATTCATTTCCTTTAGGAAAGGCTTGTATTTTTATCAGTTTTCATCCCGTCTCCTGGCTCCATCTATTTGCTTCTCGCTTCGTCACAATGCTCTTGCATTTTGATTTTGGCATTTTATTCGATGGCTTTCTTGTTGCTTCATGTTTCACTAGGTTGCATTACTTATCAAAACGGGTATTTCAAGGCTCAAAGCAAGCTGTCATATAGCCCGTCGCTAGGTACCTAATATGACGGTCAACAACATCCTTAATTGCCACTATATAACTCGGATAGGCTTACTGAGGTCATACCTAAACCTTTTTCAGTCATTTTTGCATTATTGTCTGAACAATTCATGGAACAGTCTTTCAAGAAACTAATGACTTGTTGGGCTTACTCAGATACCAAATCTCGAAACAGGCATATCTTCAAATGATTGCAATGTTGAAAATGTTAATACTTGCAGCATGAAAGTTCTAGCTATGCATGGGCAAAGCGATGGCTGATCCCTAAAAGCCATTCAAGTTATTTATCAATGGTTATTTCTTTTTAAAAATTGCAAAAAACTGTCAGCACACCATACGCAATTTGCAACACAACATCGAAAACTGTTGCAGAAGTTTTTGTTTACTCCGTTGCCATGGAGACGAAGCCCCGCAAAACTACGCTCCCGGATCGAAAGTACAATTCTAATGACGCCGCATGTCCAGGCTTTATGAAAAGTAGTAGTTTGTAAAATTGTACTTTGAAAACTACAAATGTACAAACTACAATCGGATTGTAGAATCTTTATGAAAAAGGACACAGGTAACCCTGCCCAGACGGGAGGGGAGGGACAGTCTGTAAGGCAGTACCAGGTGGACAGAGGCCTGGTCCTCGACCGGCAGGTGCGAGCACACCAGGTAACCCTGCGGGGAGGGAGGGACAGTCTGTCAGACAGTACCAGGTGGACAGAGGCCTGGTCCTCGACCGGCAGGTGCGAGCACACCAGGTAACCCTGCCGAGACGGGAGGGGAGGGACAGTCTGTCAGACAGTACCAGGTGGACAGAGGCCTGGTCCTCGACCGGCAGGTGAGAGCACACCAGGTAACCCTGCCGAGACGGGAGGGGAGGGACAGTCTGTCAGACAGTACCAGGTGGACAGAGGCCTGGTCCTCGACCGGCAGGTGCGAGCACACCAGGTAACCCTGCCCAGACGGGAGGGGAGGGACAGTCTGTCAGACAGTACCAGGTGGACAGAGGCCTGGTCCTCGACCGGCAGGTGAGAGCACACCAGGTAACCCTGCCGAGACGGGAGGGACAGTCTGTCAGACAGTACCAGGTGGACAGAGGCCTGGTCCTCGACCGGCAGGTGCGAGCACACCAGGTAACCCTGCGGGGAGGGAGGGACAGTCTGTCAGACAGCACCAGGTGGACAGAGGCCTGGTCCTCGACCGGCAGGTGCGAGCACACCAGGTAACCCTGCCGAGACGGGGAGGGAGGGACAGTCTGTCAGACAGTACCAGGTGGACAGAGGCCTGGTCCTCGACCGGCAGGTGCGAGCACACCAGGTAACCCTGCGGGGAGGGAGGGACAGTCTGTCAGACAGCGCCAGGTGGACAGAGGCCTGGTCCTCGACCGGCAGGTGAGAGCACACCAGGTAACCCTGCCGAGACGGGAGGGGAGGGACAGTCTGTCAGACAGCACCAGGTGGACAGAGGCCTGGTCCTCGACCGGCAGGTGCGAGCACACCAGGTAACCCTGCGGGGAGGGAGGGACAGTCTGTCAGACAGTACCAGGTGGACAGAGGCCTGGTCCTCGACCGGCAGGTGCGAGCACACCAGGTAACCCTGCCCAGACGGGGAGGGAGGGACAGTCTGTCAGACAGTACCAGGTGGACAGAGGCCTGGTCCTCGACCGGCAGGTGCGAGCACACCAGGTAACCCTGCCCAGACGGGAGGGGAGGGACAGTCTGTCAGACAGCACCAGGTGGACAGAGGCCTGGTCCTCGACCGGCAGGTGCGAGCACACCAGGTAACCCTGCCGAGACGGGAGGGGAGGGACAGTCTGTCAGACAGTACCAGGTGGACAGAGGCCTGGTCCTCGATCGGCAGGTGCGAGCACACCAGGTAACCCTGCGGGGAGGGGAGGGACAGTCTGTCAGACTGCACCAGGTGGACAGAGGCCTGGTCCTCGACCGGCAGGTGCGAGCACACCAGGTAACCCTGCCGAGACGGGAGGGGAGGGACAGTCTGTCAGACAGTACCAGGTGGACAGAGGCCTGGTCCTCGACCGGCAGGTGAGAGCACACCAGGTAACCCTGCGGGGAGGGAGGGACAGTCTGTCAGTCAGCACCAGGTGGACAGAGGCCTGGTCCTCGACCGGCAGGTGAGAGCACACCAGGTAACCCTGCGGGGAGGGAGGGACAGTCTGTCAGACAGTACCAGGTGGACAGAGGCCTGGTCCTCGACCGGCAGGTGCGAGCACACCAGGTAATCCTGCCGAGACGGGAGGGGAGGGACAGTCTGTCAGACAGTACCAGGTGGACAGAGGCCTGGTCCTCGACCGGCAGGTGAGAGCACACCAGGTAACCCTGCCGAGACGGGAGGGGCAGTCTGTCAGGCAGCACCGAGGCCTTGACAAGGAGGGGCGGAGCGGGGGCAGGGAGGGGCGGAGCGGTCACCATGTAACTCGGCAGGGACGGGAGGGGCGGAACGGTCACCAGGTGACCCGGCAGGGATAGAGCGGGGAGAGCCCCGGCCCCATTGAGCGGCTCCAGCGAGCACCAGCAGGCGCTGGCCCCGTCGCCGTGCCGCCCGGTTCACGAGCGCCCCGGGAGGCACACGCGGCTGATATCGGCCTCTCAGTTGCGCCGGCCGCCGCCGTAACGACTTTGGAATGGGACAGCCTCCGACTAACCGGGGCGGCCGAACAAACGACTGGTCAGCTCCCAAAGGGCCGCGGCGGGCTAAAGGCGAGGATTTTACCGCCACGGTCAGCTGCTAATGGTGGTCAGAAATAGCACAAGGATAGCGCTTTGACTCGAGGTCAGGAAATTACACCTGGTTCAACTGAGAAACCATTATAAAGGTGACGCTCGCGTTCAGATTTCCACGTTGCCGCTGGGTCACACAAGGTTCAGGGGTGTCGCGTAACTAGTGCCCACAACTGCGCCCTGTCGGCGGCAGTGAGGCGCAAACCGCGCTCATCAACTGAACCAGGAATTAGTAGTGCCCACAACTTACTGAGCTAATGACTCTGAAACCGAGTCATGAGCCGCGCTCACCCACAGAACCGGAATCTGTCGAGCGGAAGCCGGTAAATCCCTGATCTGATCTCAGTGCTTGATCCCGTCACGCGGCTCGGTGCTCCATCCTGTCAGGCGGCTCAGACTAAATAAAACGCTCCATCAGCCACGCATCGCGGTCATCAGCCACCACGAGTCTGTCTGCCATGCAGCTGCCGCCGCGCCAACCCCGGACCATCCATATCGACATCGCATCTCACGGCGGCGGGCGCTGCACGGGGCGGGGTGGCAGTACGAGGGCAAGCAGGAGTGGGCGACATCAGTAACAGTGGCCCACAGTAGGAGACACTCGTATCTCACTAGGCCGACGCCTCGACCTGTGACCATGTGTGAGCTCAAATCCCAGCTACTGAGGTCTCACCTTATAGTACAGAGCCGAGCCGCGCAGCAGATAGAGCCGCTCGAGGCCGTAAAAGTCCTCCGACTGCGGGTCAGACGCACACACAAACTGTCAGCTGCCGGCCGGGCCAGTGATACGACTCGGCACAAAGACGGCCGCCACACAGCCTAATTAGCAGCCACAAAGGAGGCTCTGAAAGTACGGCGCGTGCCGCCGCGGCCGCCTGCGGCGACGAAATGTCGCCGTATGTTAGCCGCGGACGGCCTAACCCTGCCACAACACGGCTCCGAGCCCAGCCACGCCGCACCGCACGGAAATGAGACGGCTGGCGGGCTAAGGACAAATAAAAAACGGCGTCTTGGCGCAAACATTAACATCAAGTCTGACTAATCACGAAATAATACAGGCTTCAGAAAGTTAGCGTCATATCGTCTAGCTTGACAGGAAATGTAATCAATTAGGTATGCACAAAACTTTACTTTGTAAGGGACTGCAATGAGAATTGGGGACATCACGTACACAACTCTAACCATTGGCCTGAAGTCAGGTCTGACCAAACACTACCTTCCTAATGGTTATAAAAAAGGTTTCCTTATTTATTCGGCGCCCTTAAAGGCAGCTCCCGAAACAAGCTGCGGCGTCATCTGCGCCATAAGCATATGATATTTGACGGTATATTTCGATGATATGTTTTTTTCGTAGTTCGTGTTGGTTGTTCCGTGGCCCGGTCGGTGCATCCACCTCCTCCCTAGCCACCCACCTCCTCTCCAAAGTCGCCCGACTCCAGCTCCGTCAGACTGTCTTCAATCAGCACCTGCGGACACAAGAGTAACGGTCAGATTATCAGACTGACTCTCATCGGTATCTGCCAACAGCAGTCACATTCGCTCTGGAATTCCGACATCCAGCGGCCGTCCACAGACCACTGCCGTCGTCCCGTCCCCGCTTCCCCTAATCCCCTGCGGTGATTCCCCGGTGACCCCGGGTACGACCCGACCCGATCCCGACTCGTTATGGTCGGCCGCGCAGTAGCGGCGCCGATAAAACGCACCTCCGATATCCCCAATACGGCCGGCGGCGGCCCCAGTCAGAGACCGCGCTAACGACGCCGGCCGGCCGTACCACTCCAACCCCATCGGGCTCATATACTGCACTTCAGACGGCTTACCGGGCGCCTCAAACGACACAAACTGGACCACCCGGCCCAGAATATCCTATTATGGATTCACCTGTCTGGGGTCGGGCTGTAAGCGGCTTACACCGCCCACCACTCCAATGTCACCGCGATGCATGTCGACACATCACGTATCACGGACACCTCCTTAGCAGATGGCGCCGCCGATAGCCGTAATGAGCAGCAGAGCGCTAACGATAGTCAGTTCGGGCGGCCACCCCTGCCTGTCTGCGCGGCCGTCCCGGTCCGTATCGCGCCAGCAGAGCGGAGCATTCCGACGCCGTAAAATCTCCCGGGGCCGCAGCCAATCTGCCGCTCCACTCTGGCCGACTTTTACGCCCGCATCAAACGCACCGCGAGGGCGGCCGTCACTTCAGCTGGAGCGTCGGCTCCCAGCCCACCTCGGCCGGCAGCGGCCATTCTGCCGCCCTCGCCGGCACAACGGGCCGCTGATGTAAGTCCCTCGCGTGTGGCACCTAATTGAGCTTAAGCCTCGCGGTAAAAAGACGATGATGATGATGAGCGAGGGTTTTTGGACGGAGAAGAGCCTCAATGTTCTCACAAGAGGGAGACAATGACTTACGAAAATGAGAAAACGATCTTTACGAAAAGAGGTCCTCCACTCTGTATCCACAAGTCGCCAGAGCCTATCCTGTATCTACTAAGGTAGCACAGAGGGAACTGGTGTTCCCCGTCCGTATAACCACTGAATTATGTCGGACGTTCCGAACCTCAGAGAGGCTCGCCGCTCCCGGCGGCGCGGTAGAGCGCCACTGGCGCGGCGGGTCCGTATCTGCCGCCGCCTCTGACGGCGACACCCGGACCGTCGCACGGCGCCGCCAATTAAAACAGCACCACCGGCGGTGGCGAGACTAAAGAGAACGCAGCGGCTGCTGCTGGCGGCCCGGGCGGCTCGTGGGACATAATCACTGCCGGTCAGAGGGACAGAGACACACTCCACAACGGAGAGAGAGAGGGAGAGAGAGAGAGAGAGAGAGAGAGAGAGAGAGAGAGAGAGAGAGAGAGAGAGAGAGAGAGAGAGAGAGAGAGAGAGAGAGAGAGAGAGAGAGAGAGAGATGAGGGAGGGAGAGACCTGCGCCTGGGCACACACACACAAAATACATATGGTTAGTCCACACTCCACAGTTATCTGTGGACTAACCATATCACAACATTCATGAAACATCTTTCGGTGCATGGAATACCCATAAAAATGATCTAGTATGATCACTGGCTTTATCATGGGCACTGCAACGTCCACCATCCATCCGTCTACCAATACTGACGCCAGCACGGCGCCAATATAGCCTCCTGACGCCACTACAGCGTCCCCCGCCAGCCAGTCCCCGGCGGGCGCCGCCACGGTCCATCCTATTGGCACGCGATTACCAAAGCCATTACCATACCAATAAGGGGAGATCCTTCATTCAGCGCTGCTATTTTATTCGGCGCAGAAGGCAGCGAAAACAATGGACTGAGGGAATGCTGATGAAAGAGAAGATGAAGAAAATGGAAAGCGGATGGCGAAGAAAATATCGACGATGTAGCACATAGAAAAGGCCCGAGCTGGTTGTCCAACAGCCTCAAGCAAAATGGCTTGGCTTTGTGAAATAAGGGTTCGGTAGCACAAGAAAACTGTGCGGCAGTGAACAGCATCAACAGTCAGCACCTAACCGGAAAGAGGGATGCTTGATGCCATTGAAGGGCGCACGTACGTGCTACTCGTCAAACAATTCAGAAAACACACGATACTGCCCTACGGAGAGCTGCACTATTTCACACACGCACTATTTCATCCCTCCACACCGCACAGACTCACAGCAGCTGTTTCACAGCAGCGTTAACTAATACCATTCCGGGAGTTGGCACTGCTATTAGCGGTCGGACGGAATTAGAGCTCCAGACTCCATAAATCCATTAGACACCAGTTGGCGGGCCGGCAGCGAGTTACCTAAGTGTGGAACTACCCAGCGCCGAGCCGGCCGGATGACGTCACACCACGGCCAGTGCCGGCGCAGCGGCAGACTGGCCGAGATTGGCATGGTCTTAACTTGGCGAAGAGGCATCGGACGCCAAACTTCTGCTGCAGCTATTAATCACATTTCATGCGTTTCTTCCATGTGTATGAGCTATCAAGTCCTTCGAATACCTAATGTGTAGGTGAGCGTACCTGCATTTAGCAGTGTGTGCTATGCTATGTGGATGGGCACATCCGACAGTCGACACACTGCGCAATGGATTCCGATATTGCTTGGCTGATTCTGGCTTTGTGTCTTCGAACGAACCATTGAAAGGGAGGACGTCATTTTTAAAGGTTGTTAGGTGCACTCAAACGTTTCAAGATAAGCAACTGCTGATTGAATTTCTGGCGAGGGTTGGTGGAACGCTCTGTTTACAAATGAGTATCTACCTACCTAGTACCTACCTGCAGTGGCAAATAACTGGGTTGCGGTCAGTTAGGCATGATTCACGAAGTCCCTTATCTTTTATTAGACTTATTAAGCCCAATGTGCAACATTTGCGTCTTTTCGCGTTGTATCGGGTAGCAAGTGAGAAAATCTGCTTCTTCTCCACAGCCCTCAATTCAAGAAACCGTCCTTTTCCTTATCGCATCATTCCAGGACATAATTTTCAAACATGGGTATCTTCCCCACAAAAAAAACTGAAGCAGTTTCCTTCGGCTCCAATGCGCCGCTCGCCCAGGGAGACGGAAGTGTTATATTCTCGGCGGTCCAGTCTGCATTCTGCAGCACACTCAAACTTGGCGGACCCCCAGCGCACGACTGAACGATTCGTATTGTTGTGAGTGACTGTAAGAAAGAGGCACTGGGCTGCGCCGCCTGTTAATTATTCCGAAACCACCAGTGAATTGTCACAGTCACATGAATTACAGTGGCGAATGCACTATTGCAGAGGAGAAATGGATTGAACAGATGCCCAACCTTGCTTTATTATCAACTAAACATTAGCCTACGCTTTACATTTTAATCAGGCAATCATGTAAACAAACAACTTGCGAGTTGCGACCCTTCCGCCTTACATAACTCGGCAGAATGCCCCTGAGTCGGCTAAACTACACTGCATCTCTTCAAACCTTAAGTATTTTACAATTTACCACTCAGCTATGCAACAGGCTTATAATTCACTGCTCAAGTCTCAACCCCTTTTTCCCTATCATCTTTTTGGCACCGTCAATCGCCATCTGCGCTGCCCACTGTCCAGCAAATAATCCGGCCGTCTCCAGTTCTCTGGCAGGGGCTTCCAAACTCAAGCGAACTCGCCGAAGTTTCGCCATTCAATGCGCAGGATCTGTACAATTGAGTTTGAGAGCCTCTGGGTTGGCTCGGCGCGCCTGCGCCGCGCCGTTGGTCCGGCCAAGTACGCGAGTGACGTCATGCTATAAGCGTCATCCCCCGACCAAAGTCACCAATCAGAGCCCTAGAATCGACTTGTAGTTCCACACTTAGGTAACTCGCGGGCCGGCAGTGGCACCCGGCAGCCGCAGCCGCAGCCCAGCTACCGTCACTGTCCCTGTCACCAGCCGCCACAGAGCCGTGCAGTTGGCACGCTCTGCTCAACCGGCCGCCGTACGAGGCAGGACACGGCCAGCGGCCCTATCGGCAGAATACGGGTCGAGGTCCCACTGAGAGGATACAGGCAGAGCTCCCACCAACAGAATATGGACCGAGCTGCGCGAAGTCTGGAGATGCAGTGGATCGTGGTTTAATAAATACATTTAAACAAAAACAGTCAATAATGACATGAGGAAACAAACAAATTGTTCCACCCTGGTCAACAAGGCGTCGGCTGGCACGATCCGGCACCCTTCACAAGGCGTGGAGCTCGGCACCCTTCACAGCCGAGCTCCACTTTCACAACACCGGAGATAGCCTCAAACTTAAACACGATCTCCATACATACTTCAGCGAGCACGGAAATCATCGGAACCATCTCGATCGATTCACCAGAATATAATAATGAAACCTAGCTCTCTGCTCTGTCGCGAGAAGCGCCGTTTCCAAAACCCGCTACTTCTCAGAACCGATGAGCTAACTGTCAGCACCTGGCCAGGCCGGGTCGGCGAATATCACACTCAGTCAGGGATTCCTTGTCAGCTGAATTAGCAGATGGCACAATTTGCCGGGACTCTTTCCCCATCACCTGGGTTAGCAGGTATCACAATTTGCTGGGAACCCTTCCCCGTAAGGCACGTTTTTAAACATCACACTCGGTTACCGGGTCATAGTTGGTCGGACTTTATTGTGTCCAAGTCGGTATGGAATCCTAACGGGGTTGGCTACAAGTGAGCAGTCTGTGACGCAGATGGAGCCAAATGGCAGTCTGTGACGCAGACACAATGACCAATGGCCATGACCTGGGCGCAATGGTGAGGAATGGCATCTGGGTCCAATATGCACCTGACCTGGATTTCCCGCCAATGAAGATGGACGATAACCTGAGCGGCCGTAAGGGAGCTCATCTAAACAGGTGAAGATTGAAATGCGCGTCACCATATGTTGCCGGCAACGTCAGACAGGACGGCAGGGCAGCAGCCGGTCTGGGTCGGCGCGGCGCACACAGTCCCTGCCACAAAGGAAGGCTCGGCCGGCCGGGCGCCGGAGCGCCGTCAATTGCGCTCGTTTGCGGCTGGCGCCGAGTAATTAGTGTCTGCCGGCAGCGGCGCGTCTTGTTACGCCCGGAAATGCGCCGGGTGCGGCCGGAGATGGTCTGAGGCGGCGGCCGCTGGCGAAGCGGCGCCGGCGTACACGATCGGGGCACTAATGAACGAAGGAGGCGCCGCGCCCGCCCGCGGCAGAGGTGCCCGGCTCGACTACAGTGGAACAGGCGGCCCCACTGCGAGCACGGAGCGCAGAGGGTCGATCCCGCCCGGCTTATCGAGCGCACAATGATGGATTAAAAGCGATGGAGCGGTGGCACACAAAAAGGAGTTTGCCAACAGCGTTCGGCCAAACACCGGATCACGCTTCAGTCCAAACTTTGAGCGCACTACAATCCAAACTTTTAGCGTATTACAAAGGCGAAAAAATACCGACGCCATTCAGCAGAATTGGAATGGTTCCACATCAGCCCGACGAACTTCTAAATCTCATCTAAATAAAATATAAATATATCTTTTCGATGTTCCTCCCAAACATTCACACCTTCAACCACACACAAAAGCATCAATCCATCGTAAGCCCGTGCACCCCTGGCCCTCATATGCGGATTGTGGATCCCCTAACGCGCTCATGTGGGTCCTTCCAGTACCGACACACACGTAAGCCCCCTCCGATCCTGAACCCAACCGCACGTGCGCCATTCCCACCCTTGGCCTACACGTGGTCCACCTCCCTCTCTGACCCACATCATGTGCGACCCCTCCTGTACCGACCTGCACATGTGGCCCTTCCCGACTGACCCTCACGTGTGGCCTCTCTCGCGACTATCACGTGTGGCCCCTCCCCCGATCCTGACCTGGACGTGCCGCGGCAAATGGACGGTGTGCGCGGCGGCCCCTCCCTCTCCTGACCCCTTCCCCCTCCTGACCTGGACGTGCCCGGCAGATGCACGGTGTGTGCGGCGGCCAGCAGCCGTGACCTCTCCCTGACCTCGCTCCCCTCCCCCTCCTGACCTGAACGTGCCGCGGCAGGTGTACGGTGTGCGCGGCAGCCAGCAGCCGTGACCCCACCCCTCCCCCTCCTGACCTGGACGTGCCACGGCAGATGGACAGTGAGCGTGTCCGCCAGCAGCCGTGACCTCTCCCTGACCTCCCTCCCCGCTCCCCTCTCCCTCCTGACCTGGACGTGCAGCGGCAGATGCACGGTGTGCGCGGCGGCCCCCTCCCTCTCCTGACCCCCTCGCCCTCCTGACCTGGACATGGCGCGGCAGATGGACGGTGTGTGCGGCGGCCAGCAGCCGTGACCCCGCCCCTTCCTGAACTCCCCCTCCTGACCTGGAAGTGCCGCGGCAAATGGACAGTGTGCGCGGCCGCCAGCAGCCGTGACCTCTCCCTGACCTCCCTCCCCGCTCCCCTCCCCCTCCTGACCTGAACGTGTCGCGGCAGGTGCACGGTGTGCGCGGCGGCCAGCAGCCGGTCCAGACCGCCGGCCGGCCGCTGCGGCAGCGCGCCGCGCGCGCCGGCCAGCAGCTCGGGCGTCAGCAGCGCCTGCTGAAACACCAGCGCCAGCAGGTGGTCCACGTACGGTCGCTGCGACGGCTCCCGGAGCGCGCTGAAACCGGACGGTACGGCGGCGGAGTCATTAGACGGTACTGCCAACCGTCTACAAACGCCGGGTCGCGCCGGCTAACGGCTCCCCGGACGGCGCAATGAGTCCGAGAGATGCACGCATTGAGACAACGAGACGGCGGGGACGGCGGCGGCGTCTGCTGAGCTCCTGGAGACGGACCCAAGGCTATAGAACACTGACCGGTCACGGCAGAGTCGGGGACGGCGAGCGTTGGGATGGGATTCGGAGTTCGGATTGACACTGAGGGCGCGGGCAGGTGAACGCTGGACTGGTTAGGGTTTGTTGGGTTAGAGCGAGTAACATAAATGGTACCCAGGTATTGATCTAAACCTCTGAGTCTGAATATTGTGTTGTAAATCAACCATTTTGGAATCCAATAAAGCCAGTGAGCAAGATGGATTGCTGTGCTAAATCATGTAGCTATTGCTGGCATGTGCAGCAAGCCGGTTCTAATCGTGACGAATTGCTTCATTTAAACACGCAAACAAGCATATTGCATTTCCGTGCTTTTGACTCATGGACATGCCTTGTTGCACAATAACGAAAATCTCCACAATAACCCCTCCCCCCCCCCCACACACATACACTACACATCAGTTAAACACAGGGCAGGTGCGGTGTTACTCTCACAGAAGCACACACCGGCCCCGGCCCCAGGTGAGCTGACCGTCCCGACCTCTGTCCGGCCCGGCTCAACACTCATTGACACTCATTGCTCAACACTCATTAACACTCATTGACCGGACCGACTGGCCCGACTGGAGGCGGCGGCCTGGCCGAGCTGCCGCCGCGAACAATCAGCCATTAACGGGCCGGTCCCAACAGCCGCCGGAACACGGCCGATGACGTAATTACCGGCAGCCAAATGATGTCGTTAGAGCCGGTCGATGACGTCATTACCGGTGCCCCAATATCGCCCGCCGCCCGGTAGGTATTCCGAACAGGCCCGGAGCCACCAGCGGATTTACTGTGAGAGCGCAGAGCGAATCCCAACCAGCCCAGAACCAGTGGGCACAATAAAACTCTTTGAAGACCAGCGAGCCGCCAAACCAAATCATATTCCGACCACGTGAGATACGGAACGGACTGAGAATCCGCATAACAAACTTGGTGCATCAATAAATGGCGTCTGTCTGTTGCGGAGGGACACTCGCTGACACTGCCACCTGACGCCGCGGAACGGCCAGAGTTTTGTCCGTGGACCATGGGCAGATGAATTGAACCACGCGGCGGCAGCGTCCAACGCACTACTGGTGAACTGCCCGCTCCCAGAGCCAGGGCGCGTCCCATCCACAGAGCGCGGATATCAGTCAGCGATTCGCGGCCCTGCAGGTGAGCTGGCCGGGTCTGGGCGTGATACGGCGCAGCGGAACAGCCCCTTAGCCACACCAACGGACAATTCACAACATAGGAGGAAAGTGGGTCCAGAATGTCCAGCTCCAAATACTCCCAGAGAGTTCATTTTAGTCTGACATACGAGTAAAATAACATGAGATTCAGCCTATCTAATTAAGGGCAGAATGGGCTCGGCTCATATATTCGGACAGCCGAGCCAAGTTCATAAAATAATGATCCAATTACAGCAGCAAATGGATAATTAGCTTGCATTATCATTTACCATATTAATCAGTGTCACCGAAGCTGATTAATTTGCAGGGAGCAGCGCTGGCAGCCACAAGCAATGCGTGAACTCGCGAGCGACAGCAATTCACAACATGCAGCGCATCCAACAAAAACCATGTTAATCCAGCACGTGGTGCTTCCAAAAAAGTCGATCGATGCAATAAAACATAGAATATGTCATATAGATAGCAACATTTATATAACGACGATCGTTACGTTCAGCGAACTATCAGTAGGAAATACAATGTCACACATCAACCTCCGGTGACGCGTTGATTGAATTATGAGGAGTGCCATCCATTGCCGTACTACACTGCAGCACTGTACTGCCGAGCTCTGTATTGCCGATAACACCCATTCATAACGACCCGCTGCCCTGTGCCGGCTGTAAGCCCGGGCGGCAGAGCGGCCTATCACGTGCCGGGGTGAGGGGTCATACCGCGTTCCCAGGTCATAGCCCGAGCTGACCGGCCGATAAACGGGCACACCCCCGGCGGGAGAGAGGGCGCCGGGGACGGGAGGTATGGGGAGAGGGGACGGCGTTGACCGGCGTTGGAGATACCGGGGAGGGACTGGGAATAACAGAAGGGACAGCGGTGACCTGGGACTGGTGCTGATTGACCGGGGAGGGATAACGGCTGACCCGAGGACTGGAGTGGCCACAGGAGTGGGCGCGGCAGTGACCCTCGCTCCTGACACTTGGTGTTTGCTGTACCAAACCGTATGGCCAGACATACTAGAATTTGAGCCACCATCGACCTAAACTAGCTCATAAGCAGCCATAACGCTCAACTATCAGACTGCATCGGAGCTTGGTTAAAAAAAATAAACTAATATACACGGCCTACAAAGAACATCCTCATCACATTCAATGGCCCATGCACCCCGTCCGCAGGCTGCATAACGTGCCCGCGACGTAACGACCGTCGATTGTAGTCGACCGCGGCGTTTGAGGAGGCGACAGCCGCCGAGCCGGTGTCGACGGGCCGCCAGCCGCCTCTCCAGGCCGATTGGCCATTGGGCGTCGACCGGCCGAGCCGAGTCGAGGGCCGCGAGCCGCGCGGTCGAGGAACGACCCTTTGTCCGACCACAATCGGGCCGGATTGAAGAACGCCATTTAACGGTGCGCGATGGGGATCGCCGATAACGAGCTGGTGGGGAGTGTGGATTTCGAGTGTGCGCGTGGGATGGATGTTGGTGTGAGTGTGGTGTGTGGGGGTGAGTTTGAGTGATGTTACATTACGTTAAAAGCGTTTATCTTCATTCCCGTCCCGGCGGCGGTGGAGGTCGGACGCTCCGAGCGCGAGGGTCGCCGGCCGTGCCCTGAGGGACAGGTACCGGGCCGGTAGGGTCGCCTAGCCGCGCCAGTTACCGGCCGGCCGCTGGAATAGCCTTGTGGAACACTTGTGTTTGTGTACGCCTGTACCCGTTCGCGGTGGACACAGTGATATTTTCGGCTCGTCTCGGTGTCGATGCGTGAAATGACCACGGACACTGGTGGATCGGAGCTGGACTCCGTGTTCGGTGACGCCGAGGACACTGATCGCTCCGTTCTGATAGGGAGAGGTGGCCGAAAACGTCAGTGTTCTTTCCCAGAGATGATGCAGGCTCTGGATGACGGACACGGACAAAGACGTCAAAAAAAGAGCAAGCGTTCCAGCAGAGAAAAAGACAGCGCAGAAAAAGGTGAGCACTCATGCCGTCTGGACGGCGAGTCCTTAGATGCCGTGAAATCAATTATAGATAAAGGCATCGAAAAGGTGACGAAGCTCATGGAGGAAAAGTTTAGAAGTATGGAGAGACGTATTGAAATCATGGAAGGTGAACTGTTCTTGAAAGATGCCGAAACAAACGTACTGAAGGACAGAGTTAGCTCTCAAGAAGCTACCATTAAGGCTCTACAGGAGCAGCTAGAAGGCATAGATACCAACAGACGAATGAACAGCCTGATACTCAAGAGCGAGGAATTTGGAAAAAGGGAGCGCGATGAAGATATCGAAGGAAAGGTGATATCTGTCCTCAATCGACGCCTCCCTGAGGTACATGTCACCGGCAGCGACATCCAGACCGCTCACAGACTCCAGGGTGACAGCACAGTCATTGTAAAGTTTTTCAAGACCAAGGTTAAGGACGACATTTACGAGAGAAGGATGAAGCAAGCCAGAGTACAAAACCATGGAGATCGACCGGCGGCACCTCTCTATATCAATGAGTCGTTATCAGCTATGAACAAGGAGATCTTCAACGCTCTGCTCGAAGCAAAAAAGCGTAAAAAAATCTACACCGTGTACTCAAGGAGAGGTGCGGTCTTCTGCAAGTTGGACAGCGAGTCTCGAGGTCAGAAGATGGTCAGCATGGACCAGGTGACGTCACTCCTCGGCGGGGCCGCCCGTCCCGACGGCCGGCGTCCGGCGGCGGCTGGCGGGGCCGATGTCGATCGCTCCGGTGCCGCTGCTGCTGCTGATGTTCGTGCCGTCCGCGACGCAAACGACGACGGCGGCGGCGGAGCGCGCGGGGGCCCCCTGGACGCGCGGCTGGCGCCGGCGGCGTGGCGGTCTGGCCGAGTTGACGGCGGCTCCGGTCGGTCGGCTGCCGAGCCCGGCTCGGGCGGCGCGGCCGCGGACGGGCGACGGTGATCTGTCGCGACGGCTCGTCTCCGGTACAGCCTGGCGCGACGTCTGTACCTGGACTAATGCAGGTGACCACGGTTTCGTCGGCAATTACCTGTACAGGTAACAGTACCGCGGGTTGCAGGGGAGGGGTGTGTCGGTGTGTGTATTGCTGGGGGTACTGATATCTCTTGAATTTCCTTGGAATGCAGGCTACATCGCGATGATCGTTCTGACAAGGGTCGCAGTGCTTTACATTGTATGAAAGTTACGGAAACGTTACATAAAATTATGGCGATGTGCTTTACATTTTGCGTTTCTTTTTCGTAAGTGAGATGTAACGTTAGCGTGCCTACGTTTAAATAATGCGTATGCTGATTTTTTTGTTTTTTCGCGCGAAATAAAAACGCCATCTGGCGGCCGGCCGGCGGTGCGGCTGCGGGCGATCGGTGCCGGCTCGTTGGCACAGCGTGCGTACGCTGCGTCCAGTGGGAGGGGGGATGGGAGGGTTCTGCGGGAGCATTACGGGTCAAAACTCAAAATATTATCGAAACAGTATTACATTGCACTCCATCTATAAATTTCACAGATGGAGCGACGATGCGCATGCAGACCGTGGAATGCTAAATTTAGGAAATGTTTGTGTCTCCTAAGCTTAAAATAGCGTCTCTCAACGTAAACGGGCTACGAGGCTGCGCTCAACGAAAAATGCCAAAAAGGCGTAAAATATTTACCTGGTTTAAACAGAAA